TCTACCATTCGTCTATGCATTGAATACTGCTGCCATATCTGGTCTGGTGCCCCTTCTATTCATCTCAAGATTCTTGACAAAATCCAAGGATCTCTAATGTAATTGATTCTGACTTGGCATTTTGATTTCATACACCTTCTCACCAATGTGATATGGCTTCTCTCTGTGTTTTCTACAAATATTTTCATGGCAACTGCTCTGATGAGGTTTTTTTTCCCTGGTGACCCGAGTACACAAATTTAAGCATGCTATTAGATTGGCATCTAGGCCTGACCAATTTACTTTTGAAATAGCTAAATGCAACCACCTCTTCTACTCCAACAGTTTCTTTTCTCACACTTCCTGCCTGTGGAACTCCCTTTCATTTACTTGCTTCTCTGATAAGTACAATCTTCAAAAATTTAAATGCAGCATCAATCACCATCTTCTTGAATCCTGTTCATCTTTTGGCTTTTCCTCAATCCTTCCATTTAATCAGTTTTCTCTCCCCCTTCACTCCCTATAACCCCATGTGTACTAGTAGCATTCCTGCCTGTGTACTAGTAGTATGCTTAAATTCATGTAGTCAAGTCACAAGGGAAAAATGCTCATCAGAGCAGTTGCCATGAAAATATTTATAGAAAAGACAGAGGGAAGCCATGTCAATTCAGTGAGAAAATGACTGAAGTCAAGATGCCAAATCAGGATTGATTACATTGCAGATCCTTCTTTGGATTCTGTCAAGAATATTGAGATGAATAGCAAGAGCCCCAGACCAGATATGGCCACAATATTTACAGCACAGATGAACAGTAGATTTGTAAATGTGCAAGATAGATTCATATAAGAAAAGTTTTCTAGCATGACATATTAACACAACTTTCCTTGCAGTAGATGTAGTCATTCCACTTCAAGTCAGTGGAAAATGTGAGGCCAAGAAGGTGCAGTGTGTTTCTCTACAGGAATATAGTGTCAGCCATGATTTAGTGTATAAATGAAAGCAGTTTTGTTTTGGAAGCATTAAAATTTACAAGTCATTTCTTGCCCCAGTTTACCACTGATTGGAAGTCATTTTCAAGAACAGCTGCCAGGTTTACTTATTCCGATATGATGGTCATCTACATAAATATTTAGTTTGGAACAGTTTTAGTTTTGGCATCAGGTAGACCATTAATAAAGATTAGGAATAGTGTATAACCCAGTATAGAGCCTTGGGAGACATCTATGTTCATATGACAAGATCTGGAAGCAAGCCCATTCAAAACAACCTTCATTTCATGATTTGGTAGGAATGATTGGATTAAATCAAACATTCATCCTATGACATCATAGCCATGGACCTTGTACAGAAGGCCATCATGCCAAACCCTGTCAAGTCTGAATTTTTTGGATGAAAAGTTATCATTAAGTTGTGAAATTTAAATATTAATATTAATAGCTTGCTCTTAAGACATGGAACAGTCCATTTAAATCTATCTATATATATATATATATATATATATATATATATATATATATATATATATATATATTTAAAATTAAAAAAGTAAAGTTACAAATATAGAGTTAATGTATGCATAAACACGGACACATGCAATACACATTTAGGTGGCAGGGAAGCAAGAAGGGAGTTTCACAGGCAAGAAAATAAATTATTAGAATAGAACTGATGGTTGTTTCTTGGTAATTCAGCAGTAAAATGGTGAGACCCAGTTGCCAGTTGTGCAGACATGGTGCTAAAGAAAACAGCTCATCAAAACAATTATCATGAAAATATTTGTAGAAAAGACAGAGTGAACCTATGTCATATCAGTAGGAAAGTGACTGAAGTCTAGATGCCAGATCTGGATTGATTACTGTAGGGAATTACCACAGGCGGCATTGAGGCCCAGGGTTGCATGCATTTTTTTTTGCAACAGTCAAATTAATGCTAGAGAAAATGGCTTACCTCCAGGATGAAAACAGATTTGAACGTGTCTCACATGTATACTGTCTGAAAAGAAAAATGGTGGCTTCGCGAGTTACACATTTGAAAAAAATAGATCCTGGAGTTGGATACTCTCCCGTGAGATTATCTTTACACATATGTAAATTTTGGCTGTCATGAGGAGATAAAAAAAGGACATAATGAGGGGACAGGCAGAATGGTTTCTGTTGTATTGAATAGGAGACACGTGTTGCATTCAGTGGAGTAGTTGACTACAGGAAACAGATTGTAGAAATTGTTTACAAGCCAGAAAATTACAAACTTTTTACTGCAATTACATTACAAATCCTTGTTTGGATTTTGTCAAGAATCTTTAGATAAGTAGTAGGAACCTCAGACCAGACATGACAACAGTATTCAATGCATGAACAAATGGTAGTTTTATAAATGTGCAAGAGGGAGTTTGATGAGAAGAATTGTCTGCTATTATACAATTTTTGTGATGTCAACAAACACTTATTACCACTTTTGTAATGCCAACGAATACCCGTTGTCACTTTCGAAATGCTTGTTGTAGTAGAGACTTTGTAATTGCAGATATAACTATAGTATGCTGTTGAACAATGCTAGTTTCAGACTCCTTCAAATATCACTCGCTTTAATAGTACTTGCTTGATAATAACAACTGAATAGTGATCCGAATAGAGGATTAGTATAGTGAATAGTATAGAGAATAGTGATCCATATAGTAATAGTGGATAGAATAGAAATAGTGATCTGTATGCTAATAGAGGATAGAATAGAAATAGCAATCATTTAGATACCAAGCTAATTCCCATATATACATTTCCTCTATGGTCACATGATCTACTTAATTCAATAATGGGATCGCCTGTGTTTGCTCACTGGTGATCTATGTTCAAGTGTCGGCAGTGACACTTTATTCCTATATAACAAAAATAGACCAAGTTTCCTAGCAGCAGACCAAGCAACTGATTCAATATAATCACTCTGCTTCATGTCAATGGAAAACGTGAACCCAAGAAGGTGCAAAGTTTTGTTCTCTTGAAGCTTAGTATCAGCCATGCTGATGGCAGGCAATAAAAGTTCTCTATAGTGATTAAATAAAAGCAAGTCATTCCTTGCCTCAATTAACCACTGATTGGAAGTCCTTTTTGAGAGCAGTTGCCAGTTCTACTTTGTCAGATCTGTTGGACTTACTATTAAGACAAAGACTAAATCGCTATGTCATCTGCATAGTTACTAGTTGATGGAAGGTCATTGATGAAGATAAGAAAGAGTGTAGGTTCAAGGATAGGGCCCTGTGGGACCCTGCATTAATATATAAACAAGAAGTGTGAAGTGACCTTCATTACAAGATTTACTAGGAACCATTGGATTAGGCCAAATATTCGTCCATCGATACTGTAGCCCTTGAGCTTGTAGAGATGACCATTATGCTAAGCCCTGTCAAATACATTTGAGATGTCCAGGGTCACAGCTTAAGCTTCACCATTCTTATCTAAAGCAAATTCAGTGATAGTTGTTAATACACTGATGGCAAACCTGGAAAAACAGAAGCTATATTGCTTATCTGAAAGGAGGTCAGGTGAAGTAAGATGCTTAACCAATTTGGCGTTGATTAGAGCTTCTAATAATTTTCCAAAAACAAGTAAGAGATTAATAAGGCAATAATTCAAGTGGTCAGATAGTTATGTTGGTCAATCTCATCACAAATAAAGAAAAGATGAAGCAACATACATGTAGTTCTACAGAAGGATGTTGAGAATACCATAGACAGAACTTGTGAGCAATGACAAGGTTTTAGAGAAAATGGAAACAAAAAGGACATTCATACTTAAAATCAGGAGAGGGATAGTTGAAATTTACAGGGAACATAATGAGGAAAGAGGGCTTGAAAAATTTGATACCTACAGGACATATTGAAAACAAGAGGGAAAGAGGAAAGCAGTTCATAACCTACTTAATAAGTTTGTGTAAAAGGCTGGTAGAACAGGAATTATAAGAGATAACAAATTGATAAACATTGCTACAAGCTACTATGCACAGGAAGTTGTGGAGAGTCATGATAAAATCACATCATGAAGAGTCCCTTACAAGACATATTGAAGGTAAGCAGACAAAGGTAAGCAGTGTATAAACTACCTAACCAATTTGTGTAAATGGTTGGCAGAACAGGGATTAGGAGAGATAGCAAAAAGACAATCTTTATTAAGGGATACAAAGGACAGGAAGTTGTGGAGAGCTATGATCACCAATTTTATGAAGAAGAAAAACAAAAATACAGTTAATACAATCTAATACATCTTTGTGTGCCTCGAGCAGAGGGTGGGAAGAACTCTTGAAATATTCTTGTCTGTTAATTATAAAAACAGAAAATCCAAAAAGGTGATGCTGTTAAAATTCAGATAATGCACTAATTTGCTTATCTTATCTGCCTTTTTGATTTTCCACTATCTACATGAAGTAATAGGCTTTGGGCCTGAGTACCTTCCATTTACAGTGTGATAGAGTGGATGGAAGTCCAACTTTCAACCAGGATCTTGTTAGTCCGTCTTCCAACCAGGGTCTTGTTAGTCCATCTTCCAACCAGGTTCTTGTTAGTCCATCTTCTACCCAGGTTCATGTTAGTCCGTCTTCTAACCAGGTTCTTGTTAGTCCGTCTTCTAACCAGGTTCTTGTTAGTTCATCTTCCATCCAGGTTCTTGTTAGTCCATCTTCTAACCAGGTCTTATCTCCTGAGAGGTATACCCAAATTTTAATGTTTTCAGGCTTGGTATGTTAAGTTTACATTTTTTTCTATGTGTAGTATGCTGTACTTGTATATGGTATGCATGTGTGTATGTATGTGTGCCTATATATACTTTTTCAGGGTAACAGATCTGTAATTCTTTGTCGTCTGTCATGTCTTCCAGCTCCCACATTTTCCTTACCATAATTCCTTTGTCTACAAGAAAGAAACCATTTTTTTTTTTATCTCTCCAGCTTATTACACTGCCATGGAACCTGACCAATCAACTCTATCAAAAGCTCTGTTCTAGATTCTGGCTGTTTATAAATAAATAAAAAGGACTGGGTGGGAGAGAGGAGATGGGGGAGGAGGAGAAAGAGCATAGCAGTGTGGTGGTGGTTGGGAGGGGTTCAGTGATACCAAAACAGGGATGGGTGGGTGACATGATTGAGGATAAGGTGTGGTTTTCATAGAGCTCTTGAGTCTACCCTGACTTGTGATTCTTGCCCTTTTGAAGTGCAAGTACAAACACACACACACCTACACATACAGTTATATATCTGCATAAACTTGTCTAAGACATAGGTACATAACTTGTGCATTTTCTCATAATCTTGCTATTTCTACAGTGTTTTATACTGACACACATACATACACACTGCACAATCATTGTAATGTCCATGATCCTTTCATTAGCTGCATATTATGTGCTAAATACGGTTTTGAATTAAGTTGTTCTTCTAGACCAGTTGTCACCCAAGGATATAGAACCCAGTCTGTTCTGACATTTTACCCATAGTTGGGGGAGAAGTGATGGATTCATATCTTTCTCCAGGATATTAGCACTTACATGAATGTAATGGATCTGACTGGATCTTGGCTCTTCAATTCCTGAATCTGATCCGCTATCCATTACTCCACCAAGCCTTCAACATAGTTTTACATACACACACACATATGGTGTATTTTAAAAGCTCCTAGGGATTTAGAAATTCTGTAAAATTTCTGTTTCTTAATTATTTGTGATTATTTTTATACTAAATGAAAATTTACAAAATGGAGAAGAAATTTTAACCTTATCCTCTAAACTATAATAATAAACTATAATTTTGGAAGTGAAAATTTCACTGAAATATATTTCTAAGTTTTCATCTGAAATCAAGAAAATTTGAAAGTTAAAAGCAAAATAGTCACAATATCTGGAAATAAGGAGGCATCAGGCCAGTAGAATATGCTTTCATTATCAAATTTGACTCTAATATACATTCTCCATTTTTGACTTTATAAAGTAGTTTGCAGCTAGGTCAACCAAAATTCCTGACTATGCAATCTGAAGACAGATTCACTGTTTGAAAATTGAGCAAATGATAACTTCTCTTGAAAGGGTCTGTCTGTAATCTCAATTGCCCACTACTTTCTTTAATGAATGTTAACTTGCTTAACAAATGTCTCTTATTTTGCCTCTTCTGTCAGAACAATTCATGGGATAAACATACTGTGACAAAGTTTAGCAAACATACCTTCAACAAAATGGTGTGTCAAAGGGATAGCTTTTCCTTGACACCACTATTACTGTATATCCCTTCAGCAATTGCTATGGCTTTAAAACTATTTTTAGAATTTTGCTAAAAGTCAAACTTATGGAACTAATATTGTAAATAGACAGATAAAAAAAATAAATGGTGTTTAAAATTCTTTTGTAATTTTTAAGAAAATAATAAATATAAATCCATATCTTTCCAACTTCTCTTTGTGAATTTATGTGGCAAGAGCAAATAAAAGAAATATGTGGAAAATGCATTTTTTAAAAATTTATAATTACAGTTATTGGTTATGTGTTTGTTTTTAAATTCTCTTGTTCACTGACATTTTATTTTTAATAAATTTATGAATAAAAAATTGTTTTTTAGTTATTTCTTTATAATATAGTAAATAACAAATACTGCATTGTAGTTGTTTTACATATTTTTAAAAATCTGTAAATATAAAATTGTTCTTATAAATAAAAAAATCCAATAAAGTAAATAGTTTTTAATTCTTTTGTTGTTAATTATAAAAAAAAAACAGAGAATGTATAAATCCAGTTTCATAAGTTTGGATTTTCTTAAAATTCTTAAATAACTTTTTAAAACAATAAAAATTGCCAAGGGAGTATACAGTAAAAGTGGTGTCAAAAGAAAATGCATTCTTTTGATGCACTGTCTTTTGCAGGTGTATTTGAGCCGCAATTTTTCATTCATGCACATTTGGTTAAAAACAATGAAAGTTTATTTCTGCTGATAGCAATTTTAGAATAGATATCAGTTTTTAAAGAGTATGTATTACATCTATTAAAAATGAGCTCTCCAGCAGGCTTTGAACTTGCATCCCCCTTTGTAGGAGAAACCACCAATCCAGTGTGCTTTAGACCACTCAGCCACAGAGAATGTCACAACCCAGCAATGTTCTATTTAACCTTTCTTAAGGAATGCACATCCCTTAATTCAGATTTTGATTATATTATTTTTTTTCAATGACTCTAAGAGCTTTTTTACATTTTTTTTTCACTCTCCTATCAAGTTTATCCCATGCTAATTCTGGGGGTAGCTTCAAACTTTTGAACTGTAGTGTATATATATCTCCAAACAAGATTGATTAAAAAGAACTGACAAGGTCTGTTTAATTTGTATGAATGATTCATTGTATTTATATATATATATATATATATATATATATATATATATATATATATATGTGTGTGTATATGTATGTATATGTATATATTGAGTTTGATTATAGTTCTTTGAGGACGTATTATGTTCATTTTTATTTATGTTAATATTCTCAATAGCTTGCCTAATTTGTTCATCAAAGATGTAATTAGGAATGTCATTATTAATGAGGGTTTGTTTAATATGTTTTAATTCAGAATAGAAAATCTATTTTCTATACTTAAAGAAAATGTGCTATCCAACAGGATTCAAACCTATATCCTCTTTGCAGGATCCTCCTCCCCCCCCCCATCTGAACCAGCATGCTTTGACCATTCAGTTAACAGAGCATCACAATTGATCTATTTGCCTTAAAAGATATTCACATTTTCTTGAAAGCCATATCTACTTAGTTTTGTATCTAAAACAATTTTTAAATAATTAATGGATTTTATTTTGTTAATGTGACATATTTTTATTACTTCAACTCTTATTTTTAGTGGATACCTATATTTGAATAGATGCTCCATTTTTTTTATATAATGCCTATTTTATCTATTGGCCGTACTCTTGAGAATATATATATATATATATATATATATATATATATATATATATATATATATATGATTAATATATTTATTATGAAAATATAAAGTCAGTCATATAAATTTGTATAGTGGTTAGGTCAGGCTTAGGTTTGCTACTGGTGACATGTAACACACTACAACCTGGCACATGGATGAGTAGTTGGCTCTAAACCAGCTCCTCCACAAGCTTTTCTACTGGGGTGGAGGTCGCATGTTACTCTGCAGGAGGAAGAACAAGACCTGTCAAAATGTGGATGTAATGATGTAAATAGTGTAATTAGTTATAATACCTGATCTCAGACATATATACATATAGTAATAATGGACTTTCTGGTTGGTTTTGACGTATGAGGATCTGACAGCTTATTTGATTCAGTTATGAAATTTTGTGCGATAATCTTAAGTGGCATTTAAGACCCGCTAGTGATTTACAAAGGAGGCCACATATGGAGCAAGTGTGAGGAATGTGAGATGAGATCTCTGTTAGATTGGCTGACGTTTTAGATCTTGCTCTCATTTCTTGAAAATTGCTAAAACACATTGATCTCCATTCTACCTGCTCCAAACCTAAGCACTCAAGGGTGTTATGTGGTATATTATAATTATTTTTTAAAAAAATATGATTCCATCGCTACATAGGAATTACCATGTTTCAAAAACAGTAAGGATGAAACAGAACTAAATACTTTAATTTAATTTCTGTAATTGAATTGGAAGTTTTTAGCTTCTGTTTTTGAAACATGGTAATTCATATGTATCGATGGAATCATATTTTTAATAAAAAAAATAATTATAATATAGGCTCTACTTGTGTATCAAGCACTGTTTTTTTTTAAATAAAAACAAAAATACTAAAGAATTTTGGATTATTAACCTAATGGTTCTGTTATGGGAACTTACCTATAATGATAATGGACTCTTTCTGACACTATAAATACTGCACCTCTCAAGAGGTATAATGAATGAAGGGTGTAACAAATCGAGACAATATTAGTCACTCTAAACCAGACGAACAGTCATTACTAACAACTTCAACAACTTCTTGTACTATATTTCTGTTGTAATATATCTTTGTTATTCTACTCTTGTGTTTGTGTTGTTCTTCCTTGGTTCTAACCTTGGACCATAACTGTGGTGCAAGGATATTGGACCATAAGAGGTTCTTTCCTATTTTTCAATATATTTGCATATATATATATATATATATATATATATATATATATATATATATATATATATATATATAAATGTAAAGACAGTAGGGAAACTGTAATATTAGTCAACATGTTTCATCCAGTGTGGACTTTTTCTGAGAAATTTTTCATATATTTAAAACTATAACCAAGTTGGGTTCTCAAGCTTTAAATGGTAACCATCCTAGAGATGATGTCTTGATAAAAACATGTGGTGTACTTGAATTACTGTAACTAAGTTGGGCATCAGAAAGAATATCCAGCCTTGTAAAATGTTGCTTCAAATCATTATGATAGAAATTCTCTGTTAGACATGACCCACCTTGCTATCTGGGAAATTAATCTACATCCTGCCTCAACAAAAAAAAAAAAAAAACATGGCTATGATGATGATGACAATGAAGCAAATAAAGTCTTACTGAAAAGAGAAAAATAAAATAGACTTTTTTTTTTTTTTTTACAATAAGGTTCATCCTTTACAAGGCTACTTGAGGTAGAGGGTTATGTTAGCAGGCAATTTATGCAGATAGTAGTGGAAGATAACTCTTAACCTTAGCCTTGAACAGGTTAAGATTGTAGTGATTGGGGAAACATCCTCTTGGGCGTCTGTTTCTCAGAGCAGTGGTTTGTGGGAAGAAGCTGTTAATTTGAAATTTAGTTCTCACCGATGGGATATAGAGGGAATGTGGGGGGTTTGCTACTTTGTAAGTGACATGGTGTGTCCTTGCTGTGAAGGTTTGAATTGGCAGGACCAGAGAATATAGTTCATCTGAGCACTTTCCATTGAATTAGCAATAGAGCAGCAAGAGGCATGCCATATCTGACCTATCAGGGAGAGATTAGAGGGTGGAGAATAATTCATCACCCAAATTGGATTAGAGATTCTTTTGGAATCTATCAATGTTGGAGAGTGAGATCTGGGCAGCTGTAGCCCAAATACAGCTCTTGTAAGGGTAGAAAGTTTCTGGTCTT